CACACACACACACACACACACACACACACACACACACACACACACACACACACACACACAGCTGTTGACCAGAGAGCTTATGAATATCCTCTCTCGAAACAGCAAAGCAAAAAGGGGAAGTGGCTAACCTCACATTTCTCTCTGTCTCCTTATCTCAAGCTTTCWTTTTTTTTCTCTAACTTCTCTGTCTCCTCACATCTGCCTCCACGCATCTCTTTTTTTTTTTTACGCTTTACCGCTCTCGAGCCTTCCTCTCACAATCTCCACCTCGGTTTTCCCGCTCTCGTGCCACTCATCCCCCTTTTTTTCTTTCCTTTTTCCAGTGGCGATGGTGATTGACAGATGATCTGACGGAGGAAGACATCAGGTGAGGAAAAAGTTAACTTCTCCTTCCCGCTCTAGCTCATTTCCTCCTCCTTCAGTTCAAGGGAAGTTTTAATGTAACTCTAGTTCTCTGTAGTTATTTTGATCTCTGTAATGGGAGCTGCTTTCACTTTTCACCAGCTTTATTCTGTAGAGTCGGGGTTTGTGACGAGACTAATGGGAAATTAGTTACATTTAGCAACACTAAGTTTGGCACTTTATCATGACGTCGCTGTTACTCATCTGGTAATTTGTTAAGCAATGTCTGTGACTGAATTGCAGCTTACATGAAAGATTAAACACGAAGGAAGCGGAGGAAAAAAAAGAGACAAAATTGTGTTTGTTTTCCAGACGCTGTCTCCCTGCTGGTGATTATGGGGTGCTCCTGTTGCAAGCAGAAGAAGTCCTCCAAATCAAAAGAAGCAACATCAGCGGTAGATGTTGCAGACCTGTCGCCTAGCAACGCAGACGATCGGTCAACCGAGACCTCCAATCAGGGCCGGTACTGTGCCGATCCCACTCAGAGCATCCCGGACTACAACAAGACCTTCTTGACCAGCACCGGCTTCCCCAGCATCAACTCAGGCCATCAACATGGAGGTGTGTGTGTTTGTGTGGACGGGGTTTTCCTACAGCGTGGGCAATTTTTTTTTACCAAAAAAAGCAGCCTCGTGGGGACCAAAGTGAAATGTGGGAACCAACACTAGGTCCCCACGGGTCCAAATGCAAATTACGGGTAGGTTGAGGACCAAGGCTGAGGTTAATTTTAGGGTCTGTTAAGTACGCGTGAAGTTAATTTTAGGATATGTGGTCAGGGTTAGGTTATAAAGTCGAAAAAATGAATGGAAGTCAATGGAAGGTCCCCATGAGGTTCAAGAACAAACGTGTGTGTGTGTGTGAATGTGGACGGGTTTTTCCTACAACATGGGGTATTTTTTACAAAAAARGCAGCCAGGTGGGGACCGAAGTGAATCGTGGGGACCACTGTCAGGTCCCCACGGGTCCAAATGCATGTTACAGGTGTGGGGTTAGGTTTAGGACCAAGGTTTAGGTAAAACCTGTGAGGTTAATGTTAGAGTGTATGGTCAGGGTTAGGATATAAAGTCTGATATAAATGAATGGAAGTCAATGGAATGTCCCCAAGTGTGTGTTTGTGTGTGTGTGTGTGTGTGTGTGGAGGCTAGTAAAAAAAATCAAAACTATGGGTTTTAAAAAATGTTTTTGTGACAATTTCTTTTGTTTTTATTTTTTTTTAATTTTTTTAAAGAAATCTGTTGTCCTTTTGTGTCAGTTTCTAAACTGAAACACATTCAAATATTTTAAATGTAAACGCAGCCCTACATGCAGCTCATGATAAAAAAAATACTGAGACTGAACTGAAGGAATTCATCARCCAGAAATGACAGATTTTCTTATTTATTGACAAAATCTGACATTAAAGGAGACACATGGTGCTTTTAAATTGTTTTTCACATTTAAATCCTTCAGTTGGRRTCTTTATAAARYGRAACTGCAGTGTTTGGTCTGCATTCCTCCTTACTGTAACTCCACAAGCCCCCCTTTTATCCCGTTTCTGAGGTATATCTCAGATCAACTCGTTTTGAGGCTGTCTCTTTAAATCCAAACGAGGCTCTTCCCACCCCGCCCCCCTCCAGCTTCCAGAGCGGTTTATTCTAGTTTAATAGAGGGGCTTACGACTATATAGCTGCGCAGAAACTTTTTATTTACAAATTAATTAAAAGATGTCATCAAGGGAAGATTTGTAAAGGGATTTATTTATTAGCTAAATGCTAATTATAGCCTGTTGCCAAAGTTAAAGTAATAATTTTTTAGCTTGTGTGTTGATGTCTGTTAGCAGAATATCTCACAAACCACAGGATGTATTTTAATGAAACCCTCGAAACATAATCATTCAGTGGACTGTAGGTTAACTTTTTTATTAATATCAGGTCTTCAGTGTAGAAGTTTTTGCTGAGCAAAGACAGAAAGTTGGATTTTTCTAATATTTCTGAGGCAGTTACAGATAAAAATAAAGTCAAAGGAAGCTCAAGYTGAGTAAGAGTCTATTTGAAAGGAAACAACGATCTTCCACAAAGTTCCGTTTGTCGGCTAAACATTTTACTACTCAGTAACATACGGCACATTTAAGCACCAGCTGCCACTTAACTTAAACAGGTGACACATCCGAGTCCAACTTTCTCCACGGTGACACCTGTAATTTACTGGCAGGTTGATAAATGTAAGCAAAAAAAAAAAAAGTTTAATTGCTGTGATTATCAAGCTGTAATTTGCCACGTGTGCAGCTACGATAAAATGGAGGAATGATTGAACACATCTAAGTGAAAATCAGAGGGGATTTAATTTAATTTATTAAAGGTTTTATTGGAGACAGCTTCGTTTAATTTTAAAACGAGGTTTCAAATTTAAAATAATTGTCTTGTGATACGGTGCAGTTTTATGTTAAGTTTTAAGGTTTATCGTTTATATATGATAAATACTACAAATAATTTAAGTGGATTTTAGTTGTACATGGAGAATATTACTTATGAATTTCCCATAAGTAAGAGAAGAGAGTTTTCTTCAACTACAACTAGTACTGATATTAGTTTTTACAGACTAAGTACTTCAGCTTGTGTGCTTACTGATGCTGATACTGATAGAGTTAGTACTCACACATTTCTTTTATTAAAAGCACAGCAAACAGTCTATTGTCTTAACGCATTTTTATCCTAAAATATCTTCAAACTTTTTTTTTTTGTCCACGGTTATTTGCGAACTGGAACAAGGAAATGATGTCACCAAGCCTAAAAGTGGTACTGATCCGAGGTGTCTGGGTGTTTTTAGGAGTATGAGTATTTGAGGCTGGTGTTGGTTGGAGCTTTACAAACATCTGGACCCAGAATCAGCCTGAAAATCAGAGGTCGGTGCGTCTTTAACRGTTTGTTTTTCCTCCCGCAGTTGTTGGAGTCACGTTCTTCATAGCTCTGTATGACTACGACGCTCGCACCGAAGATGACCTCACCTTTCAGAAAGGAGAGAAATTCCAAATCATCAACAACACGTGAGCACAAATGAAAAATATAGATGTGGTTAGATCAGACGTGTTATCACGTCTGCCACCAAGTCTTTTCATTTCCGCATCATGACCCTTTTTTT